CCTTGGATACGCCCCGGTTTTATTCTGCAGGCCTGAAATACCGAGGGTCACGGCTGGGGGTGCAAATCTTTGGCCAGCTTCCCCTAAAACTTCTCGTGAAGTTTTGCAGGTGCCTTGGGGCTTCGCCGGGGGTGTGTGTGCCTCATCATTTGAGGCCGAAGGAGGTTTAAAAACTATTCCGGGATGTTTGAACGGTGGCTCTGGTATAGCTCTGGGTTGCTCGCCCCTTCCCAGGTGAACGCTGTTCACAGCAGTGGGAGGCTCACACGGAAAGAAACCCACCCCGGATGGTCGGGGTCTTGTGGAACAGCCTGACCATCCTGGGGTCACGTGGGATTGTATTAACGTGCAATGAAATTATGAAGCTCTATGAAGCAATCATAAAAGGTGGGAAAGGAAAGCCTAGGTTGCTTAGTAGCGATGCTTTTAGACTTGTGTGACAGGCACCTCTGTGGGAGGCATAATTAATACTGAGCTGGTGTAAACAGGAAATAAAAAAATGGCTCTTGACTACTGTTTAGAAGTGTACTTTTCCCTGAAAAATTTTCGAAGCCTGACTCTCATGCGCTGTTCCAAAACCAACATAAATGCTTTTGAAAACTCCTTTCTGGATATTGGGTCATATTCATATACTGGAATGGGACAGCTTTTGTTATCAAAACAGTAGTGCATAATATATGAAGACAGAATATTCTCCTAAATATGCCTATATTTTAGAACCTTACATTAGGCTTGTTGCTTGGGCGTGCAGTGAAATGCTTTCTTTATTCAACCAAGTTCCACAAATGACACTGTCATTGCTAAAAATGTAATAAAACTTGGGAAAAAGAGTTGTTGTCTTGCATCTTTAAAAGAAGTTCTGAAAGTCTGCAAAGCAACATTTTATAGAGAGACTTAATGCACATCCTGGTTTTATAAATATGTCATTTTAGTAAACCTGAAGATTTTCTTCCTAGAAAGTACGTGAAAAGTGTTTTTAATAGCATGCAGACAACTGCCACTATCAGCCTGATAACTTCTTTTTTGGAATCTGTTCTTTCTATTTTGTTACTTTGTGTTTAGGTGTTGATCAGTGCATCCAGAAGTTTCTGGATGTTGCAAGACAAACTGAATGCTTTTTTCTACAAAAAAGACTGCAGCTATCGGTCCAGAAACCAGAGCAAGTAATTAAAGAGGTATGTTTAAATTAATTTACCTGTGTTGTGCTAGATCAGATAAGTTGTGTACCAGTACAGTTAATCACCTCATTCACATTAATTTTGGGTTTCTCAACATGATGCTGTATCTTAAGTTGGTAGCTCTTGCCATGAACCTGGAGAAGCTGGATGCCTGCTGCTCTGTGGAGTATTGGAACACAGGTGATAGTTTCACTGGAAGAAACAAACTAGTTAGATTTTGCTGGAAGTAATGATGTCTGCAATATGTGACCTAGGGGAACGGAACTAGTGCATTCACAGTGCTTTCCCTCTGTTTCGTTAGATGCTTTTCCATTATTAGAATCCATATAAGATCAGCTTGAAAAATCAAGCTAAAAAAATTATGTGCTTTTTATGTAAGGTGGTTATTCTTATGAATACTGTCTATTTACTAATACATGTTTTTTCATCCATAGGATGTTTCAGAATTAAGAAATGAATTGCAGAGAAAAGAAGCATTAATTCAGAAGCATTTGGGTAAACTGCGACACTGGCAACAGGTCCTGGAAGATATCAGTGTACAGCACAAAAAGCCTGCAGAAGTGCCTCAAGGTCCATTAGCTTACCTAGAACAAGCATCTGCTAATATTCCTGCTCCAATGAAGCAAACGTGATCCTTGATTTTACATACCGGAATATTTTCAACAATGCAAAGCAGTGGTGTTAGTTTTACTTTGTATGCTTTTTATATAATGTAATTTGTACTACAAATATAAATAGTTAAGACAATTAAGCGAAATAAATTCTCTTCTTTTTTTTTGCAAAAATATGGATTGGTTTTATATTTCAATGGAAAATATGCAGAGTTGCTATTCAGGATGCTTTCTGGTAGAAGTGTGTTTTCCAGAATGCATCCTGTTCCTTCCTGGCCCTAGCTTTCCCCTGACTGTATCTTTGCTGGTGTGATGAAAATACTTGCAAAGATTACTGTTTGGTTTTACTGGAAGATATTTTAAATGTTTTGTGATGTAGTAATTGTCCTTAAGTACCACTGCAGAAGCACCCTTAGAATTGTCTGTATCTAGGTCAGATCAAGAGTACTTTTTTTGAAGTGAATTGTCCATCTCCACTGGACTTTGCTCACCTCATGAAGAGGTGTCAGGATATACAAATTTGATTCTTACAGGATGACATGAAACCGCAGAATGCATCCTGGGGGGGTATGTAATGCAGGCCCAATGTTACTGGTGGTCTATCTGTCAGGCTACTGTAGAGATGGTCCAAAATACGTACCCCCAAAATAAAGACTACTCATTGTGGATGTTGGGTCATCAGCACTGTCCAATCTACAGAATTGGCTTCTACTGGGGTGCACTATTTAGTAATCCAAATGTAGCCAAAAAAGATTTCAGAGGTAGAAATAGCAAAGGAGTCCTATCTCTGTATTACTAGGCAACAAGCTTAATTCATCCATATAGCCAGGAAAGCCACTTTCTAGGGACACCTTTTTGGGGACAGAGTTAACTAATTAGAAAACCGTAACCCTAGAAATTAGAATTAGTAATTGTGTATTGAACTTTCTAGTGTGCTTTAAAAGTTTGTGGGGCAGAGTGGATAAAAACTCTAATGAAAAACAGCCCTATACATTTCTGATCCTCTCACAGATACCAAGGCGCTCCTCAGTGTTACTTACTGCACACCATTTTATCCCCTTCTTGATTACATGTATAAAAAGCGTCTTTTTCCCAAATCTGATGGCAAAGTCTCCTTCCAAACCAAGCAGTTCATCTTGGAAAAAATACAGACAGTATGAAAGTATGGGCTTATAGAAGCATTCTGCCCCTTCTGCGACCTTTTTACCATGGGTGAGGTGCAGTGGCTTGTAGTAAGTGCTTGCATCTGTTGGTACAGTTCTTGCTGGCTGTTTGATATAAGAAGAGGTTAGGCTGGAGGTATGTCACTTTGCACACGTAAAATTTGTTATGTAGCTGGACCCTGCTGGTTGAAATTAAATGGGGATTCAAATTGAACAGCAGTTGAAAATGAACTGTCCTATCTTAAACACTAGGCTGCTGGTTGCACAATTCCCTGCCTTTCACATTTCTTGACGAATTACTTGAGGGTTAATTTCTTCATGGCTGTCTTTCCTCCCAGTAATGAGTTAGCTAGCATGATCTGATAAATGTAGTCATTCGCCCACTTTGCATTTAGGTGGGCATAAGAACAATATTGAGATAAAATGTACGAGTACGCAGTTCTGGAACTCCGAGTGTATCAGTCTGACTCACACTTCAGCATAACATAGCACTATTTTGCAAAACATAGAAATGGATGATTTATAAGCAAGTTTTAATGTTCATGCTTACATATTATCCTAATTTATCAGGAATAGTATATTGCAATGCTGACTATACAAAACAGTTTATTAAGCAAACCAGAAAGTATTTCTAAACTAGCCTGCTATAAACATGCTATTCTTGGAGGTATACCGCATGCTGTACAGCTTAAAATAAGTTTAACAAAAACCTATTAAAAACTTTAAAAATTACATGATTATATACAGAAATTATATTAAGCAGCTAATGAAGCGAACATATAAACCTACAGAAATCACCTACTGACGTAAGATCTTTTTTCAGCTGGAGCCAGATTGACAGGATGTATCAGAGACCAAACTGCATATTTAATGTAATTGTGGAATGGTACAGTCTCTTGATTAAAAAGTCTCTTCACATAACAGTATCCAGAATTTTGCTTTTTCTTCATTTTTTACAGAGGTTGTTAAAAAAACGCATTTTTCTGAAATCCATGCCAGTAATTCCATAGTAATTAGATGTAAGAGTGTGCAGTTGTTCCTAATTATTTACTTGGAAATTACATCTTTTTTTTTTTTTTCTAAATCATATATTGGATTATCATTCCCTAAAAGAAAACAGGAAGAGCTTTTCTAGTAATTCTGAGAAGTATGGAAATAGTTTGCTTTAAAATGAAAAAAATTTAGTAAACCATTCTTGATGCTGAGGGTCTTGGTTTTGGTCATCTTTGGTTTGTGGTGGTTCATTGCCATGTGTCCTGTGCAAACAAATAAGCATTAGCATCACTTAGTCACTTACAATCTTACCAATATTTAATACTTTTTTCCTGGAAAAACTCATGATCCTATGAATGGATATGTGCTCACACGAACGGGATGAGACCAAAAGGTGCCAGCTACAATTTCTAGTGGGATCTGTGCTAGCCAGGTAACTGGGCTAACAGCACTGGTAGCAACACAAAGGAAAGCATGAAGGAGAGCTAAATAGCTATGGAGAAATGTTTGAACATAATTCTTGACATCTCAAAAAATAAAAAAAAGGATGCTTCAAGAATATGAAGTCTTGAAAATCAGAAAATGGCAGCTGCAATTCACTCTTAAAAATATGAAATACAATTTATGCATTAAAAATGTTGGGTGAAAGTTTTGTTTGGAACTGAAAGATTTATCTGAATATTAACTGGCTTTTATAATCAATCCTATTACATAGTCCCTGATTTTTCAGCATTCAGGATGCCTTTTTAACATTTC